ATCCGATTACAAGTTACTGCAAAATAATCAAAATACGTTTGGCGCAAAGTAATCCGATTACATAGTGCTGCAAAAATGTAATTACACTTGGCACAAAGTAATCCGATTATAATTGAGTGTACACGCCTTTCATCACACTTGGGACAAAGTAATCCGATTACAATTGAGTGTGCAAACATTTAGTCACACTTTGTACAAAGTAATCCGATTACAATTTGACGCACAAGTCTTTAATTACACTTGGTACAAAGTAATCCGATTACAAGTTGACGCGCAAGCCTTTAATTACACTGGGCACAAAGTAATCCGATTTCAAGCGAGCACGTTTGACTTGGCAAGGCCAGAGTGTAACACTGAATGTCGGCCGGCTTACCACAGTGTACGCGTTTTGAATATTTAACGACGTTTATAATGTTCATACGACTTCACTCGTTACGATGTGTGGGTGTGAGGGTGGGTGGGTTTGGGTTTGGTGGAGATTTGAGTTAAAATTATTTTATACCAATCACGTCTTTGCCTTGTGTTGGTTGGGTGACGCGAGTGGGTGGGTGAAGTAGGTGGGTGGGTGGGTGAGTGGGTAGGTGAGTGGGTGGGTGGGTGAGTGGGTGGGTGAGTGGGTGGGTGGGTGAGTGAGTGGGTAGGTGAGTGAGTAGGTGAGTGAGTGGGTGAGTGAGTGAGTGGGTGAATGAGTGGGTAGGTGTATGCGTGAGTGGGTGAGTGGGTGAGTGAGTGGGTGAGTGAGTGAGTAGGTGAGTGAGTGGGTGAATGAGTGGGTAGGTGTATGAGTGAGTGGGTGAGTGAGTGGGTGAGTGAGTAGGTGAGTGAGTGGGTAGGTGAGTGAGTGAGTGGGTGAGTGGGAAGGTGAGTGAGTGGGTCGGTGAGTGAGTGAGTGGGTAGGTGAGTTGGTTAGTGAGTGAGTAGGTGAGTGAGTGGGTGAGTGGGTGAGTGGGTGAATGAGTGGGTAGGTGTATGAGTGGGTGGGTGAGTGAGTGGGTGAATGAGTGGGTAGGTGTATGAGTGAGTGGGTGAGTGAGTGGGTGAGTGAGTGAGTAGGTGAGTGAGTGGGTAGGTGAGTGAGTGAGTGGGTGAGTGAGTGGGTGAATGAGTGGGTAGGTGTATGAGTGAGTGGGTGAGTGAGTGGGTGAGTGAGTGAGTGAGTGGGTGAGTGGGTGAGTGAGTAGGTGAGTGAGTAGGTGAGTGAGTAGCTGAGTGGGTGGGTGAGTGAGTAGGTGAGTGAGTGGGTGAGTGAGTGGTTGGGTGAGTGAGTGGGTGGGTGAGTGAGTGGGTGAGTGAGTAGGTGAGTGAGTGGGTGAGTGAGTAGGTGAGTGAGTGGGTGAGTGAGTAGGTGAGTGAGTGGTTGGGTGAGTGAGTGGGTGAGTGGGTGAGTGAGTAGGTGAGTGAGTGGTTGGGTGAGTGAGTAGGTGAGTGAGTGGTTGGGTGAGTGAGTAGGTGAGTGGGTGGGTGAGTGAGTAGGTGAGTGAGTGAGTGGGTAGGTGAGTGAGTAGGTGAGTGGGTGAGTGAGTGGGTAGGTGAGTGAGTAGGTGGGTGAGTGAGTGGGTGAGTGAGTGGGTGAGTGAGTGGGTGAGTGAGTGGGTGAGTGGGTGAGTGAGTGAGTGGGTGAGTGAGTGGGTGAGTGAGTGGGTGAGTGAGTGAGTAGGTGAGTGAGTAGGTGAGTGAATAGGTGAGTGAGTAGGTGAGTGGGTGGGTGAGTGGGTGAGTGAGTGGGTGAGTGAGTGAGTGGGTGAGTGAGTGAGTAGGTGAGTGAGTAGGTGAGTGAATAGGTGAGTGAGTAGGTGAGTGAGTAGGTGAGTGAGAGTGAGTGAGTGGGTAAGTGAGTGAGTGAGTAGGTGAGTGAGTAGGTGGGTGAGTAGGTGGGTGAGTGAGTGGGTGAGTGAGTGAGTGGGTGAGTGAGTGGGTGAGTGAGTGGGTGAGTGAGTGGGTAGGTGAGTGAGCGGGTGAGTGAGTGAGTAGGTGAGTGGGTAGGTGAGTGAGTAGGTGAGTGAGAGTGAGTGAGTGAGTGGGTGAGTGAGTGAGTGAGTGGGTGAGTGAGTGAGTGGGTGAGTGAGAGTGAGTGAGTGGGTGAGTGAGTGAGTGGGTGAGGTGAGTGAGTAGGTGGGTGAGTGAGTGAGTGGGTGGGTGAGTGGGTAGGTGAGTGAGTGGGTGAGTGAGTGAGTGGGTGAGTGAGAGTGAGTGAGTGGGTGAGTGAGTGAGTGGGTGAGTGAGAGTGAGTGAGTGGGTGAGTGAGTGAGTGGGTGAGGTGAGTGAGTAGGTGGGTGAGTGAGTGAGTGGGTGAGTGGGTAGGTGAGTGAGTAGGTGAGTGAGTAGGTGAGTGAGTGGGTAGGTGAGTGAGTAGGTGAGTGAGAGTGAGTGAGTGGGTGAGTGAGTGAGTGGGTAGGTGAGTGTCTGTGCGAGTTTTCTGTATTAAGTTCTGGAGCCAGCCGGGAGGAGTTGGAGCAGGCAGCGCTGCTGAATCAACAGCGCTGCGAGGCACTCGCGACACGGTCCAACCTTTCTATAATTAATTTGCGACGTTTCTGGCAGCGACCCTTCGTCATGGCACTTAACATTTTTATTCATTTCAACAACACCGCTGCCTTAAGGAAATTATCGTACGTGCTATGACGAAGTTTAAGTTTTTCAGTTTCATGTATTTTGGTATATCCCTGTGAGCCATTCGGCTCTTGAATCGGGTGCAACCACAACAAACAAAAACACGAACAAGACAAACATCTTAAAGTGACTTTGTGTGACTGTGCAAACAGAAAATCCAGGAAAAAAAACATCAAAATATTCCTGTAAAAAGCACCGTACACCACCAACGCTGTGTACAAAAAAATCCCAGTGGGATGCAAATCAAACAACAACAACAACCACAAGACAACTTAGATTAAGGCCGTCAGTCTAACTCCGTACTACAACAAAACAAACATGGCCAAACCAAAAAACTTTTCGAAATCACCCAAATAAAGCCATAATTGCAACGTAACAGTGATCACAGGGACTGTGACCGAATTTTTAACAATAAACTACATAAATAACATGTAACACCAAATCCTAGAGCCACAGCTGGCTGCATGAGTTACTCCACAAACATCAGGAGCATCAGTCGGAGTATCACATTTTTCAATGCACCTTTAAGATCAGCACGCTAAATCAAAATACAGATCATACTTTGCAGCGGTCATCCGGAGCGAAACATTTTATTTTATTTTAGGCCACTGAATAGCAGCGGCAGCTAGGGGTGTACAACTCCTCTAGAGCAGCTTTGAGTGAAGATCTCATTGGTAATGATTCAAGTCACAGTTTATTGGCAATAGCATTCCAGACCCTGGGGGCATCAATAGCAAAGGCCCTTCCTCCGGTTTTTGTACGGCAATAGGGGAATGTGAAGCTGGTAAATGAGCGAAGACCTGAGGTCAAATTTGTTCTTTGAAACAGAGAGGAGATCCAGCAGCAGGTAAAGTCTGCGGATTTTTTTGTAAGCACATCGTGGATCAATAAGATCCGGTGCACAAGCCGTCGAACATTCAGAGATGTTAAGTTTGACCCCATGTAGAGGTCACAGCGGTGAGTTTCTATATGGGCAGTTCATTGCAAATCTTAAGGCCGAGTGATAGATGGAGTCAAGCTCCTTCAGTACAGTACTTGGGGCTGATTTATACACGATGTCACAGAACATTTTGATTCAAAGCTTTTGTGACTGCTGTGATTCATATTCTTGATTCTTTCGGTAAAGTCACCGCCACGTAGAAGGGAAACATTAAACAAGCAGACCTAAAACACGGTAGGACCAACACCTCGGCCGTGGCAGATCACTGTTATAATTCAGTGGGCTCACGTGACATTGACTTCTCCAAGACAGAGGTTCTCTGCAAGCCATCTGGCTACCGTGAGAGATTCGTTAACGAGGCTATCCACATACACAAACACGGAGACAATTTCAACCGAGAAGATGGATTCTGGCTTAGCAATCATTGGAAGGATTTTATAAACCATTTCGGGTCTTAATTGATTGTTCACGCTTACGGTGGCTTTCAGACCGCATACATTAATTTTCGTCTCCCCCCTCCTCTTTTCTGAACATAGATGGACTCAAATTTTGATTTAAAGCTTTCGTGACTGCTGTGACATCATATTCTTGGTTCTTTCGGTAAAGTCACCACCGCGTAGAAGGGAAACAATAAAATAAAAAATATAAAACAATAAAATTCTCACGGCGTTTCGACTGCAACGCAAGAAGCAATCACCGTCAGGTGTGAAAATCACGGCAATAATTTTTTCTTAAAAAAGTGGCGGTTTTTTTGACGTTAGCACCACGGAGAGCGATTTGACAGTTTGTTCAGATGGACGAGTCCATCTGTGTTCGTCTCCCCTCCTCTTTTCCGAACATAGATGGACTCGTCCATCTGAACGACTGCCAAATCGCTCTCCGTGGTGCTAACGTTAAAAAAACACCGCCACTTTTTTTTTTAAAATGTCTTGCTGTGGTTTTCCCAACTGATGATGATTGCTTCTTGCGTTGCAGTCGAAACGTCGTGATAATTTTCTTGTTTTATATTTTAGTATTATTTTATTGTTTCCCTTCTACGTGGTGGTGACTTTACCGAAAGAACCAAGAATATGACGTTACACGCGTTACTGACATTCTTGGGTAGTCAATTATAATAAGGGGGTTATTCTTGTTTCAATTATGGTATCGCCCTAAATCATTCAACAGCATTGCTCCTCAGAGCCCTTCGGCGCACCCCCCAAGTGTAACCGGTAATGGTTTGCTCCACACCGCGCGAAACTCTGTAAATGTTTATCAAATTGCCATTGGCTCGACCAATATATCTGAGAAGGGGGGGGTAGGGGGTGTTCGCTTATTCGCGTGGTTTCGTTCTTCAGAAGTCAAAGGCATTTTGGTACAAACACCCCTCTGCCTAAAAGCCGCATTGGTTTACTCCGCGTCGCGGCAAACCCCCGGCTGTGCGAATGTTTATCAAAAAATAATGTCCATCCGCCCCGGACCGTACCATCTTTACAAATTCAGTCAACGGTGGGGACGTGGTGGTAAGCATAGGGGGGGAAATCTACAAATTTAATGGTTTCGTCCTAATTACTAATAGGATAATGACCCAACTCCCCCCCACTACGCCTCACGCACTCCCCTACACACAAATGGTTTGGCCTCCCCAACCAACGTGGCGTGTTTACCAAAAAAAAATGCCCTAAAATGCGAGTGAAGCGAAGACGTTGATAATTAAATAACTCTCGAGGCGTGGTTGGCGATAAACCCAAACTTTAGCCATCGTCTCGCTACGAATTTAACAAAAGAATTAAACTAAATTTACAAACGAGGCCTGGTCGGCGTTGCTCGATCCACTGCTGGATTGAGGCATCGCCTCCTCTCCACACGCGCCTGGTGATGTAATTTTAAACATTTTTTTAAAGGTTTTTCTTCGTTAAAATATAAACTTAGCGATTTCAATGTACACCCACGTGTAAATAAAATGCCTTTGGTCGCACGTTTAAATGTAATAGTAATTTAATTGTATACATTGCAGTGTGAGTAGCCTTCATTGGCTGCTGCTCGTAACATAATACCGAATTTAAAAGCCGATTTTATTTACAAGATTATGGACTGCACAGTCATCTGTAAACATAATGTGTTGTACATAAGTGGAAGGAATATATATTAAAGTTGTTGATTTTACAGGACCGGTTAATATATTATATCAAAGGCTTATTATAATTGCATTGAAGCGAATGTGATCTATTATTTAGACACATTTAACTCGAAATAGGATTATAACATCCACTTACCATCGCACGTAGCAAACTATTAATCAAATACCGGTATTAATATAACTTATATTGTACGAACTCTAGGGGGTTATTATGTTACCAGCGTAACAATAGCGGATTGTAATTTGCGACCTTAAAGCTGGGTTAACAATTTACGGTGCGAGATTAACATTCACTATCACAGCGTGCACGCGACAATAGTTACATTGCAAAAGGTTATCGTTATAAATGTTTAAAATCTGCACGTTTAAAATCTAAGCATTTAAATTCGATACTTTAGACGAACTCCCCCAATACTTGTAACCAAATACGCAGAGTGGCAGTCCCTTAAACCCGATATATCAATCCGATAAATATAATTAACACGGACCGCTTTGTTTGTAATTAAAACATATTTTGTGTTATTTTTAAAGACGCACAACTGACGGAAGACGACAAACAAAAATTTAAATCCTTAAAATAAAAAAAATCCCCTCAGAAAAATTATTTTAAAAAAAGTCTCCGCCCACTTGAACCCAAATGTGGGGCCCTGGCGGGGCCGGGCCCCCCTCCCTCGCCTGCTCGACCCCGCCGCCGCGGGGCCGCCCTCCCGGGCATGACTCCTATCCCGGCTGGGTCCAGCGAGGCTACGTCCACCTGATGACTGCGAACGAACACTCCATCCAGGCGCTGTCCTGGCGCAAACTCTACCTCAGCCGCGCCAAACTCAAGGCGTCTTCCCGCACGTCGGCGCTGCTCTCCGGCTTCGCCATGGTGAATGGATAGCCCCGACGCTTCGCAGCCTCCCCTCGCTTGACGAGAACCAACACCGATCTCTACCCCGGACGCCTCCCCTCCTCCTCCTCTACCCTCCACCCCTCGTGTTTTACGGCAGGCCGCTCAGGCAAGAGCGTAGGCATCGTAGCGGCCTTACTGCGCATCCCACGGGGGGGGGGGGGTAGTTTTTTATCTCTTAATTATTTATTTGAGATGGGGCGACAATCTTTCGCCGCTTTGCGAGTTACAGAAAGTGTCGTTTGGTCGTCGGCGGCGGTGAGTTTGTAACTTTTAAAGCCGTAAAATAAATAAATAAAACACCTTCCCCAACAAACTGGGCGGTAAGTGTCGCAGCTGAGTTGGGTTACTCCAGCTTTATCGCCCACGGGAGTCGTGGTGATGATGATGATGGTAGTGGTTCGATTATCCCATCTCGCGGCCAGTAGCGGTGGTTACCTGAACCGGTCCTGGGCCTCTTCCCCCCCTAGGTCCACTCGGCGTCAAATGAGTGACCTAGCTACGGTGTGTTTGGTTAAACATCGCCAGCACTGGGGAGAGACAAAGGCGGCCGGGCGGGCGTTGTGTCGGCCTCCGCTCCCTCTGTGCCACAGCGCCGGCAGCCTTCATGGGCACTGCTCGCTACCAACAGCACTTGCCACAACAGTCTGGTGCAGCTATGCGGGGGATCTTTGTCTTTGTGTTCCCTAACCCACTCCACCTTGTCACCCTCACCCCGTCACCCTCACCCCGTCACCCTCACCACGTCATCCTCATCCACACCCTCACCCCGTCACCCTCACCCCATCACCGTCACCCTCACCCCGTCACCCTCACCATGACCCCGTCACCCTCACCCTGACCCCGTCACCCTCACCCCGTCACCCTCACCCCGTCACCCTCACCCTCACCCCGTCACCCTCACCCCTCACCCCGTCACCCTCACCCCGTCACCCTGACCCCGTCACCCTCACCCCGTCACCCTCACCCCGTCACCCTCACCCTGACCCCGTCACCCTGACCCCGTCACCCTCACCCCTCACCCCGTCACCCTCACCCCGTCACCCTCACCCCTCACCCCGTCACCCTCACCCCGTCACCCTCACCCCTCACCCCGTCACCCTCACCCCTCACCCCGTCACCCTCACCCCGTCACCCTCACCCCTCACCCCGTCACCCTCACCCCTCACCCCGTCACCCTCACCCCGTCACCCTCACCCTGTCACCCTCACCCTGTACCCTCACCACCCTGACCATCGCCACCCTCGCCCAGGTGGCGATGGTGGAGGTGCAGCTGGACGTAGGCCACGTGTACCCGCGTGGGCTGCTGGTGGCCTTCTCCGTGTGCACCACGGTGCTGGTGGCCGTGCACCTCTTTGCGCTGCTCATCAGCACGTGCATCCTGCCCAACCTGGAGGCGGTGAGCAACGTCCACAACCTGCACGCGGTAGACGAGAGCCCGCACGAGCGCATGCACGGCTACATCGAGCTCGCCTGGGCCTTCAGCACCGTCATCGGCACGCTGCTCTTCCTCGCCGAGGTGTGCTGGGTGGTGGGGGGTGGTGGTGGGGGGTGGTGGTGGGGGGTGGTGGGGGGTGGTGGTGGGGGGTGGTGGTGGGGGGTCGTGGGGGGGCGACACGGACGGGCGCGGACGGACGCTCCGTCGTCGTTCCCACACTTGCTCGGCTGACCACCACCTCGCTCGCTCGCCCACGCGCTCGCCCGCTCACTCGTTCGCATCTCCGCTCGCCCACTCGCTCGCCTACGCGCTCGCCCACTCACTCTGCTATCCACTCTCCCACTCGCTCTCCCACTCACTCACTCTCCCACTCACTCTCCCACTCACTCTCCCACTCGCTCTCCCACTCACTCACTCTCCCACTCACTCTCCCACTCGCTCTCCAACTCACTCTCCCACTCACTCTCCCACTCGCTCTCCCACTCTCCCACTCACTCACTCTCCCACTCACTCTCCCACTCGCTCTGCCACTCACTCTCCCACTCACTCTCCCACTCGCTCTCCAACTCACTCTCCCACTCACTCTCCCACTCGCTCTCCCACTCTCCCACTCACTCACTCTCCCACTCACTCTCCCACTCGCTCTCCCACTCACTCTCCCACTCACTCTCCCACTCGCTCTGCTACCCACTGGCTCACTCACTCACTCTCCCACTGGCTCTCCCACTCACTCTCCCACTCACTCTCCCACTCGCTCTCCCACTCGCTCTCCCACTCGCTCTCCCACTCGCTCTCCCACTCGCTCTCCCACTCACTCACCCACTCACTCACCCACTCGCTCTCCCACTCACTCACCCACTCACTCTCCCACTCACTCTCCCACTCACTCACCCACTCGCTCTCCCACTCACTCTTCCACTCACTCTCCCACTCACTCACCCACTCGCTCTCCCACTCACTCTCCCACTCGCTCTCCCACTCGCTCTCCCACTCGCTCACTTGCTCACTCACCCACTCGCTCTCCCACTCACTCTCCCACTCGCTCTCCCACTTACTCTCCCACTCACTCTCCCACTCACTCACCCACTCACTCTCCCACTCACTCTCCCACTCACTCACCCACTCGCTCTCCCACTCACTCACTCTCCCACTCGCTCTCCCACTGCCTCTCCCACTCGCTCTCCCACTCACTCTCCCACTCTCCCACTCACTCTCCCACTCACTCACCCACTCACTCTCCCACTCACTTTCCCACTCACTCACCCACTCGCTCTCCCACTCGCTCTCCAACTCACTCTCCCACTCACTCTCCCACTCGCTCTCCCACTCTCCCACTCACTCACTCTCCCACTCACTCTCCCACTCACTCTCCCACTCACTCTCCCACTCACTCTCCAACTCACTCTCCCACTCGCTCTCCCACTCGCTCTCCCACTCGCTCACTCGCTCACTCACCCACTCGCTCTCCCACTCACTCTCCCACTCGCTCTCCCACTTACTCTCCCACTCACTCTCCCACTCACTCACCCACTCACTCTCCCACTCACTCTCCCACTCACTCACCCACTCGCTCTCCCACTCACTCACTCTCCCACTCGCTCACCCACTCGCTCTCCCACTCGCTCTCCCACTCACTCTCCCACTCGCTCACCCACTCACTCTCCCACTCACTCTCCCACTCACTCACCCACTCGCTCTCCCACTCACTCTTCCACTCACTCTCCCACTCACTCACCCACTCGCTCTCCCACTCACTCTCCCACTCGCTCTCCCACTCGCTCTCCCACTCGCTCTCCCACTCGCTCACTCGCTCACTCACCCACTCGCTCTCCCACTCACTCTCCCACTCGCTCTCCCACTTACTCTCCCACTCACTCTCCCACTCACTCACCCACTCACTCTCCCACTCACTCTCCCACTCACTCACCCACTCGCTCTCCCACTCACTCACTCTCCCACTCGCTCTCCCACTGCCTCTCCCACTCGCTCTCCCACTCACTCTCCAACTCTCCCACTCACTCACCCACTCACTCTCCCACTCACTCTCCCACTCACTCACCCACTCGCTCTCCCACTCGCTCTCCAACTCACTCTCCCACTCACTCTCCCACTCGCTCTCCCACTCTCCCACTCACTCACTCTCCCACTCGCTCTCCCACTCACTCTCCCACTCACTCTCCCACTCGCTCTCCAACTCACTCTCCCACTCACTCTCCCACTCGCTCTCCCACTCTCCCACTCACTTACTCTCCCACTCACTCTCCCACTCGCTCTCCCACTCACTCTCCCACTCGCTCTCCCACTCACTCTCCCACTCACTCTCCCACTCACTCTCCCACTCGCTCTGCTACCCACTGGCTCACTCACTCACTCTCCCACTGGCTCTCCCACTCACTCTCCCACTCACTCTCCCACTCGCTCTCCCACTCGCTCTCCCACTCGCTCTCCCACTCGCTCTCCCACTCACTCTCCCACTCACTCACCCACTCACTCTCCCACTCACTCTCCCACTCGCTCTCCCACTCGCTCACCCACTCGCTCTCCCACTCGCTCTCCCACCCACTCTCCCACTCGCTCTCCCACTCACTCACCCACTCACTCTCCCACTCACTCTCCCACTCACTCACCCACTCGCTCTCCCACTCACTCTTCCACTCACTCTCCCACTCACTCACTCACCCACTCGCTCTCCCACTCACTCTCCCACTCGCTCTCCCACTCGCTCTCCCACTCGCTCACTCGCTCACTCACCCACTCGCTCTCCCACTCACTCTCCCACTCGCTCTCCCACTTACTCTCCCACTCACTCACCCACTCACTCTCCCACTCACTCTCCCACTCACTCACCCACTCGCTCTCCCACTCACTCACTCTCCCACTCGCTCTCCCACTGCCTCTCCCACTCGCTCTCCCACTCACTCTCCCACTCTCCCACTCACTCTCCCACTCACTCACCCACTCGCTCTCCCACTCACTCACCCACTCACTCTCCCACTCACTCACCCACTCGCTCTCCCACTCACTCACCCACTCACTCACCCACTCACTCTCCCACTCACTCACCCACTCACTCACTCTCCCACTCGCTCTCCCACTCGCTCACTCGCTCACTCACCCACTCGCTCTCCCACTCCCTCTCCCACTCACTCTCCCACTTACTCTCCCACTCACTCTCCCACTCACTCTCCCACTCGCTCTTCCACTCGCTCTCCCACTCGCTCTCCCACTCACTCTCCCACTCGCCCACCCACTCACTCTCCCACTCACTCTCCCACTCACTCTCCCACTCACTCTCCCACTCGCTCACTCGCTCACTCACTCACCCACTCGCTCTCCCACTCGCTCACCCACTCGCCCACCCACTCACTCTCCCACTCACTCTCCCACTCACTCTCCCACTCACTCTCCCACTCGCTCACTCGCTCACTCACTCACCCACTCGCTCTCCCACTCGCTCACCCACTCGCTCACCCACTCACTCTCCCACTCGCTGTCCCACTCACCCACTCACTCTCCCACTCACTCACCCACTCGTTCTCCCACTCACTCTCCCGCTCACTCTCCCACTCACTCACCCACTCACCCGCCCACTCGCCCACCCACTCGCCCGCCCGCCCACTCGCCCGCGCTCCCCTCCCCCCAGGTCGTCCTCCTCTGCTGGGTAAAGTTCCTCCCCCTGGGCGCCGCTCAACGACCGCAGCAGCAGCTGCCGCCGCCGCCGCCGCATCCACCGCCGCCGCATCCACCGCCACCACCGCCACCGCCAGCGCTGTCCCCCGTGCCGGACGACGGCCGCCACCACGTCGCCATCGCCCCCACGCCTCCCCTCATCATCTCGCCGCCGCTCTACCCCGCCGGCGCCGGAGGAGGAGGAGGAGGAGGCAGCGACGAGGGGAGGGACGCGGCCCTCGCCGCCACGGCCGTGATGGCTCCCGTGGGGCTCCTCTTCGTGCTCTTTGCGGCTCACTTTTACCGCTCGCTCGTTGGGCACAAGACGGAGCGCCACCGGCAGGAGATCGAGGAGCTGAGCCGGCTACGGAATGAGCTCGACGGAGGAGGGGGAGGCGGCGGAGTTGATGGAGGAGGAGGTGGAGGAGGAGGAGGAGGTGGAGAGACCGGGGTGACCGCTGGCAGTCACCGGATACGCGACGACGATTACGACGACGATGACGATGACGGTGGTGGTGGTGGTGGTGGGGGTGGTGGTGGGGGTGGTGGTGGTGGTGGTGGGGGTAATGGCTACTGTGACGGGGTGCAGGGGGGTCGAATTGGAGGCAAGGGTGGTGGCTATGGGGGAGTCGTCTGAGGTGGAGCTGACGGCGGTGGTGGAGGAGGTGGTGCAGGAGGTGGTGCAGGAGGTGGTGGAGGAGGTGGTGGAGGAGGTGGTGCAGGAGGTGGTGCAGGAGGTGGTGCAGGTGCAGGAGGTGGTGCAGGAGGTGGTGGAGGTGCAGGAGGTGGTGGAGGTGCAGGAGGTGGTGGAGGTGGTGGAGGTGCAGGAGGTGGTGCAGGAGGTGGTGCAGGAGGTGGTGCAGGAGGTGGTGCAGGAGGTGGTGCAGGAGGTGGTGCAGGTGCAGGAGGTGCAGGAGGTGGTGGAGGTGCAGGAGGTGGTGGAGGTGGTGGAGGTGGTGCAGGAGGTGGTGGAGGTGCAGTGGAGTCACGGGTGACTGATGGCTGTCGCTAGATACGCGACGATTATGATGATGGTGCTGGTGGTGATGGGAGTGATGCATTTGCGTTTCTTTGTGAGTATCTCTGTAAGTCTGTGTCTCTGTGTGAGTCTTATGTGTCTCTGAGTCTGTGTGAGTCTTGTCTGTGTAAGTCTACGTGTCTCTGAGTCTGTGTGAGTCTTATGTGTCTCTGTAAGTCTATCTCTGTAAGTCTATGTGTCTCTGTGTGAGTCTGTCTCTGTGTGTCTCTGTGAATCTGTGTTTCTGTGTGAGTCTGAGTCTCTGTGTGTGTCTGTGTGAGTCTGTCTCTGTGTGTCTCTGTGTGAGTCTCTCTCTCTCTGTGTGTGTCTCTGTGTGTGTCTCTGTGTGTGTCTCTGTGTGAGTCTCTGTGTGAGTCTCTGTGAGTGTCTCTGTGTGTGTCTCTGTGTGAGTCTGTGTCTCTGTGTGTGTCTCTGTGTCTCTGTGTGTGTCTCTGTGTGTGTCTCTGTGTGAGTCTCTGTGTGAGTCTCTGTGTGAGTCTCTGTGTGAGTCTCTGTGAGTGTCTCTGTGTGTGTCTCTGTGTGAGTCTGTGTCTCTGTGTGTGTCTCTGTGTGTCTCTGTGTGAGTCTCTGTGTCTCTGTGTGTGTGTCTCTGTGTGTGTCTCTGTGTGTGTCTCTGTGTGAGTCTCTGTGTGAGTCTCTGTGTGTCTCTGTGAGTGTCTCTGTGTGTGTCTCTGTGTGAGTCTGTGTCTCTGTGTGTGTCTCTGTGTGAGTCTCTGTGTGAGTCTCTGTGTCTCTGTGTGTGTGTCTCTGTGTGTGTCTCTGTGTGAGTCTCTGTGTGTGTCTCTGTGTGTGTCTCTGTGTGTGTCTCTGTGTGAGTCTCTGTGAGTGTCTCTGTGTGTGTCTGTGTGAGTCTCTGTGTGAGTCTCTGTGAGTGTCTCTGTGTGAGTCTCTGTGTGAGTCTCTGTGTGTGTCTCTGTGTGTGTCTCTGTGTGTGTCTCTGTGTCTCTGTGTGTCTCTGTGTGTCTCTGTGTGTCTGTGTGTGTCTCTGTGTGTCTCTGTGTGTCTGTGTGTGACTCTGTGTGTCTCTCTGTGTCTCTGTGTGTGTCTCTGTGTGTGTCTCTGTGTGTCTGTGTGAGTCTCTGTGTGTCTCTCTGTGTATCTGTGTGAGTCTGTGTCTCTGTGTGTGTCTCTGTGTGTCTCTGTGTGAGTCTCTGTGTCTCTGTGTGTGTGTCTCTGTGTGTGTCTCTGTGTGTGTCTCTGTGTGAGTCTCTGTGTGAGTCTCTGTGTGTCTCTGTGAGTGTCTCTGTGTGTGTCTCTGTGTGAGTCTGTGTCTCTGTGTGTGTCTCTGTGTGAGTCTCTGTGTGAGTCTCTGTGTCTCTGTGTGTGTGTCTCTGTGTGTGTCTCTGTGTGCGTCTCTGTGTGTGTCTCTGTGTGTGTCTCTGTGTGTGTCTCTGTGTGAGTCTCTGTGAGTGTCTCTGTGTGTGTCTGTGTGAGTCTCTGTGTGAGTCTCTGTGAGTGTCTCTGTGTGAGTCTCTGTGTGAGTCTCTGTGTGTGTCTCTGTGTGTGTCTCTGTGTGTGTCTCTGTGTGTGTCTCTGTGTCTCTGTGTGTCTCTGTGTGTCTCTGTGTGTCTGTGTGTGTCTCTGTGTGTCTCTGTGTGTCTGTGTGTGTCTCTGTGTGTCTGTGTGTGACTCTGTGTGTCTCTCTGTGTCTCTGTGTGTGTCTCTGTGTGTGTCTCTGTGTGTCTGTGTGAGTCTCTGTGTGTCTCTCTGTGTATCTGTGTGTCTCTCTGTGTCTCTGTGTGTGTCTCTGTGTCTCTGTGTGTCTCTGTGTGAGTCTGGACACCCCCAGTGCCGCTCACACTTTGCGTTGTGCTGCTGCCGCTCCCCTGGGTAAGGACTGGAGCAGGCTGGCGGGATGGAGGCACAGAACTCTGACCTTAGTTTACTTCATTCAAATGAGATGCCAATGATATGCTAATTGTATGCTAATTGTATGCCAATTGTATGCCAATTATATGCTAATTGTATGCTAATGGTACAAACAAAGACAGTGTTAGGGATTGGTGTTGAGTGGAGACCACGGGTCGCAGGGTCAGTGTCTAGAGTGGAGACCAGGTCCCAGTGTCTAGAGTGGAGACCAGGTGTCAGTGTCTAGAGTGGAGACCAGGTGTCAGTGTCTAGAGTGGAGACCAGGTCCCAGTGTCTAGAGTGGAGACCAGGTCCCAGTGTCTAGAGTAGAGACCACGGGTCCCAGTGTCTAGAGTGGAGACCAGGGGTCCCAGTGTCTAGAGTGGAGACCAGGGCCCAGTGTCTAGAGTGGAGACCAGGTCCCAGTGTCTAGAGTGGAGACCAGGGCCCAGTGTCTAGAGTGGAGACCAGGTCCCAGTGTCTCGAGTGGAGACCAGGTCCCAGTGTCAGTGTCTCGAGTGGAGACCAGGTCCCAGTGTCTAGAGTGGAGACCAGGCCCCAGTGTCTAGAGTGGAGACCACGGGACCCAGTGTCTAGAGTGGAGACCAGGTCCCAGTGTCAGTGTCTCGAGTGGAGACCAGGTCCCAGTGTCTCGAGTGGAGACCACAGGTCCGAGAGTCTAGAGTGGAGACCAGGTCCCAGTGTCTGTCTAGAGTGGAGACCAGGGGTCTCAGTGTCTAGAGTGGAGACCAGGGGTCCCAGTGTCTAGAGTGGAGACCAGGGGTCCCAGTGTCTAGAGTGGAGACCAGGGGTCCCAGTGTCTAGAGTGGAGACCAGGGGTCCCAGTGTCTAGAGTGGAGACCAGGTTCCAGTGTCTAGAGTGGAGACCAGGTCCCAGTGTCAGTGTCTAGAGTGGGGACGAGGTCCCAGTGTCTAGAGTGGAGACGAGGTCCCAGTGTCTAGAGTGGAGACCAGGTCCCAGTGTCTAGAGTGGAGACCAGGGGTCCCAGTGTCTCGAGTGGGGACCAGGGGTCCCAGTGTCTAGAGTGGAGACCAGGTCCCAGTGTCTCGAGTGGAGACCAGGTCTCAGTGTCAGTGTCTAGAGTGGGGACCAGGTCCCAGTGTCTCGAGTGGAGACCAGGGGTCCCAGTGTCTAGAGTGGAGACCAGGTCCCAGTGTCTAGAGTGGAGACCAGGTGTCAGTGTCTAGAGTGGGGACCAGGGGTCCCAGTGTCTAGAGTGGAGACCAGGTCCCAGTGTCTCGAGTGGAGACCAGGTCTCAGGGTCAGTGTCTAGAGTGGAGACCAGGTCCCAGTGTCTAGAGTGGAGACCAGGTCTCAGGGTCAGTGTCTAGAGTGGAGACCAGGTCCCAGTGTCTAGAGTGGGGACCAGGTCCCAGTGTCAGTGTCTAGAGTGGAGACCAGGGGTCCCAGTGTCTAGAGTGGAGACCAGGGGTCCCAGTGTCTAGAGTGGAGACCACGGGTCCCAGTGTCTCGAGTGGAGACCAGGGGTCCCAGTGTCTAGAGTGGAGACCAGGTCCCAGTGTCTCGAGTGGAGACCAGGTCCCAGTGTCTCGAGTGGAGACCAGGGGTCCCAGTGTCTAGAGTGGAGACCAGTTCCCAGTGTCTAGAGTGGAGACCAGGTCCCAGTGTCTAGAATGGAGACCAGGTCCCAGTGTCTCGAGTGGAGACCAGGTCCCAGTGTCTAGAGTGGAGACCAGGGGTCCCAGTGTCTAGAGTGGAGACCACGGAACCCAGTGTCTAGAGTGGAGACCAGGTCCCAGAGTGGAGACCATGGGTCTCAGTGTCTCGAGTGGAGACCAGGTCCCAGTGTCTAGAGTGGAGACCAGGTCCCAGTGTCTAGAGTGGAGACCACGTCCCAGTGTCTAGAGTGGAGACCAGGGGTCCCAGTAAGCATCGCCCCTGGTGAGACAAAGCCGGCCGGTCACGGCGATGGTCACCCACCCCCTACCGGCCTTCATTGAAGTGCTCCTCGCTAACAGCACTTGCCCCTACAGCCTGCTAGAGGCTACCTGGGGGATCTTTGTCTGTGTGTGTGTAGGTGCTGCTACTCGCTACTCACAGCACTTGCCCCTACAGCCCTGCTAGAGGCTACCTGGGGGATCTTTGTCTGTGTGTGTGTGTAGGTGCTGCTACTCGCTACTAGCAGCACTTGCCCCTGCAGCCCTGTGCGGACTACCTGGGTAGGGGGGAGTACCTTTGCCTTTTGCGTGATATCATTGACTTTAAGTTTGCCGTGCCTGCGACCGTGGGGAGCGGTGGCGCAGCGGTTGGCGCCGGTGACGATCACTCGAAGCGGTCCCGGGCCTCCCCTAGGTCGACTCGGCCTCGACCGAGCGCTGCCCGGTGTCGCCGTGGTGTGTGGTGAACATCGCCAGCACCGGTGGGGAGAGACAAAGGCGGCCGTGGCGTGGTGCTGGTGGCCGACCAGCACCGCTGGGGCATGGCGGACCTCTTTGTGGCCTCACCGCCCACCGCCCCACACACTTGAAATGGTCGTGGATGCCGAGGAGCGGCGGCGGGCAGCCACACACCACACGTGACACACACCACACGTGACAGACTCCACACGTGACACACCACACGTGACAGACTCCACACGTGACACCACACGTGACAGACTCCACACGTGACACCACACGTGACAGACTCCACACGTGACACCACACGTGACACACACGTGACACACCACACGTGACGGACTCCACACGTGACAGACTCCACACGTGACACACCACACGTGACAGACTCCACACGTGACAGACACCACACGTGACACACCACACGTGACACACCACACGTGACACACCACACGTGACACTCCACGCGTGACAGACACCACACGTGACAGACTCCACACGTGACGGACGCCACACGTGACACACGCCACACGTGACGGACTCCACACGTGACGGACTCCACACGTGACAGACTCCACACGTGACAGACTCCACACGTGACAGACTCCACACGTGACACCACGCGTGACTCCACGCGTGACTCCACACGTGACAGACTCCACACGTGACAGACTCCACACGTGACAGACTCCACACGTGACAGACGCCACACGTGACACGCCACACGTGACACGCCACACGTGACACGTTGGCGTGGCGGACGCCACACGTGACAGACTCCACACGTGACACACCACACGTGACACCACACGTGACACCACACGTGACACCACACGTGACACCACACGTGACACACCACACGTGACGGACTCCACACGTGACACCACACGTGACACACGCCACACGTGACGGACACCACACGTGACGGACACCGCACGTGACACACCACGCGTGACGGACACCTCGCGTGACGGACACCACGCGTGACACCACGCGTGACACCACGCGTGACGGACGCCACGCGTGACGGACGCCACACGTGACGGACGCCGGCGTGGCGGACGCCACACGTGACGGACGCCACACGTGACGGACGTCGGCGTGGCGGACGTGGAGCACGTGCGGTAATAACACTCCGCGTGGGCTCTGCTCTCAACTCTGTGCATTCTGTTATTGTGTGAGGGTGAGTGGGGTTAGGGGTGAGTGAGGGTGAGTGTGAGGGTGAGTGGGGTTAGGGGTGAGTGGGGTTAGGGGTGAGTGAGTGTGAGGGTGAGTGGGGTTAGGGCTGAGTGAGTGTGAGGGTGAGTGGGGTTAGGGGTGAGTGAGTGTGAGGGTGAGTGGGGTTAGGGGTGAGTGAGTGTGAGGGTGAGTGGGGTTAGGGGTGAGTGAGTGTGAGGGTGAGTGGGGTTAGGGGTGAGTGAGTGTGAGGGCGAGTGTGAGGGTGAGTGAGGCTAGGGTGAGTGTGAGGGTGAGTGTGAGTGGGGTTAGGGGTGAGTGAGTGTGAGGGTGAGTGAGGTTAGGGGTGAGTGAGTGTGAGGGTGAGTGGGGTTAGGGGTGAGTGAGGGTGAGTGAGGTTAGGGGTGAGTGAGTGGGGTTAGGGGTGAGTGAGGGTGAGTGGGGTTAGGGGTGAGTGAGTGTGAGGGTGAGTGGGGTTAGGGGTGAGTGAGTGTGAGGGTGAGTGGGGTTAGGGGTGAGTGAGTGTGAGGGTGAGTGGGGTTAGGGGTGAGTGAGTGTGAGGGTGAGTGGGGTTAGGGGTGAGTGAGTGTGAGGGTGAGTGGGGTTAGGGGTGAGTGAGTGTGAGGGTGAGTGGGGTTAGGGGTGAGTGAGTGTGAGGGTGAGTGGGGTTAGGGGGTGAGTGAGTGTGAGGGTGAGTGGGGTTAGGGGTGAGTGAGTGTGAGGGTGAGTGGGGTTAGGGGTGAGTGAGTGTGAGGGTGAGTGGGTTAGGGGTGAGTGAGTGTGAGGGTGAGTGGGGTTAGGGGTGAGTGGGGTTAGGGGTGAGTGAGTGTGAGGGTGAGTGGGGTTAGGGGTGAGTGAGTGTGAGGGTGAGTGGGGTTAGGGGTGAGTGAGTGTGAGGGTGAGTGGGGTTAGGGGTGAGTGAGTGTGAGGGTGAGTGGGGTTAGGGGTGAGTGAGTGTGAGGGTGAGTGGGGTTAGGGGTGAGTGAGTGTGAGGGTGAGTGGGGTTAGGGGTGAGTGAGTGTGAGGGTGAGTGGGGTTAGGGGTGAGTGAGTGTGAGGGTGAGTGGGGTTAGGGGTGAGTGAGTGTGAGGGTGAGTGGGGTTAGGGGTGAGTGAGTGTGAGGGTGAGTGGGGTTAGGGGTGAGTGAGTGTGAGGGTGAGTGGGGTTAGGGGTGAGTGAGTGTGAGGGTGAGTGGGGTTAGGGGTGAGTGAGTGTGAGGGTGAGTGGGGTTAGGGGTGAGTGAGTGTGAGGGTGAGTGGGGTTAGGGGTGAGTGAGTGTGAGGGTGAGTGGGGTTAGGGGTGAGTGAGTGTGAGGGTGAGTGGGGTTAGGGGTGAGTGAGTGTGAGGGTGAGTGGGGTTAGGGGTGAGTGAGTGTGAGGGTGAGTGGGGTTAGGGGTGAGTGAGTGTGAGGGTGAGTGGGGTTAGGGGTGAGTGAGTGTGAGGGTGAGTGGGGTTAGGGGTGAGTGAGTGTGAGGGTGAGTGGGGTTAGGGTGAGTGAGTGTGAGGGTGAGTGGGGTTAGGGGTGAGTGAGTGTGAGGGTGAGTGGGGTTAGGGGTGAGTGAGTGTGAGGGTGAGTGGGGTTAGGGGTGAGTGAGTGTGAGGGTGAGTGGGGTTAGGGGTGAGTGAGTGTGAGGGTGAGTGGGGTTAGGGGTGAGTGAGTGTGAGGGTGAGTGGGGTTAGGGGTGAGTGAGTGTGAGGGTGAGTGGGGTTAGGGGTGAGTGAGTGAGGGTGAGTGGGGTTAGGGGTGAGTGAGTGGAGGGTGAGTGGGGTTAGGGGTGAGTGAGTGAGGGTGAGTGGGGTTAGGGGTGAGTGAGTGGAGGGTGAGTGGGGTTAGGGGTGAGTGAGTGAGGGTGAGTGGGGTTAGGGGTGAGTGAGTGAGGGTGAGTGGGGTTAGGGGTGAGTGAGGGGTGAGTGGGGTTAGGGGTGAGTGAGGGTGAGTGTGAGGGTGAGTGAGGCTAGGGTGAGTGTGAGGGTGAGTGTGAGTGGGGTTAGGGGTGAGTGAGTGTGAGGGTGAGTGAGGTTAGGGGTGAGTGAGTGTGAGGGTGAGTGGGGTTAGGGGTGTGTGAGTGTGAGGGTGAGTGGGGTTAGGGGTGAGTGAGTGTGAGGGTGAGTGGGGTTAGGGGTGAGTGAGTGTGAGGGGTGAGTGGGGTTAGGGGTGAGTGAGTGTGAGGGTGAGTGGGGTTAGGGGTGAGTGAGTGTGAGGGTGAGTGGGGTTAGGGGTGAGTGAGTGTGAGGGTGAGTGGGGTTAGGGGTGAGTGAGTGTGAGGGTGAGTGGGGTTAGGGGTGAGTGAGTGTGAGGGTGAGTGGGGTTAGGGGTGAGTGAGTGTGAGGGTGAGTGGGGTTAGGGGTGAGTGAGTGTGAGGGTGAGTGGGGTTAGGGGTGAGTGAGTGTGAGGGTGAGTGGGGTTAGGGGTGAGTGAGTGTGAGGGTGAGTGGGGTTAGGGGTGAGTGAGTGTGAGGGTGAGTGGGGTTAGGGGTGAGTGAGTGTGAGGGTGAGTGGGGTTAGGGGTGAGTGAGTGTGAGGGTGAGTGGGGTTAGGGGTGAGTGAGTGTGAGGGTGAGTGGGGTTAGGGGTGAGTGAGTGTGAGGGTGAGTGGGGTTAGGGGTGAGTGAGTGTGAGGGTGAGTGGGGTTAGGGGTGAGTGAGTGTGAGGGTGAGTGGGGTTAGGGGTGAGTGAGTGTGAGGGTGAGTGGGGTTAGGGGTGAGTGAGTGTGAGGGTGAGTGGGGTTAGGGGTGAGTGAGTGTGAGGGTGAGTGGGGTTAGGGGTGAGTGAGTGTGAGGGTGAGTGGGGTTAGGGGTGAGTGAGTGTGAGGGTGAGTGGGGTTAGGGGTGAGTGAGTGTGAGGGTGAGTGGGGTTAGGGGTGAGTGAGTGTGAGGGTGAGTGGGGTTAGGGGTGAGTGAGTGTGAGGGTGAGTGGGGTTAGGGGTGAGTGAGTGTGAGGGTGAGTGGGGTTAGGGGTGAGTGAGTGTGAGGGTGAGTGGGGTTAGGGGTGAGTGAGTGTGAGGGTGAGTGGGGTTAGGGGTGAGTGAGTGTGAGGGTGAGTGGGGTTAGGGGTGAGTGAGTGTGAGGGTGAGTGGGGTTAGGGGTGAGTGAGTGTGAGGGTGAGTGGGGTTAGGGGTGAGTGAGTGTGAGGGTGAGTGGGGTTAGGGGTGAGTGAGTGTGAGGGTGAGTGGGGTTAGGGGTGAGTGAGTGTGAGGGTGAGTGGGGTTAGGGGTGAGTGAGTGTGAGGGTGAGTGGGGTTAGGGGTGAGTGGGGTGAGGGTGAGTGGGGTTAGGGGTGAGTGAGTGGAGGGTGAGTGGGGTTAGGGGTGAGTGAGTGAGGGTGAGTGGGGTTAGGGGTGAG